CAGGATCAGGAAACAGTCCTCCATAAAATGCGCTGCACACATCTGAATATTTGGTTTGAACTGTTCTGGAACGGTGTTGTAAATACAACTTAACCACTGATTTCTAGTCATGTCCTCTTTTGGAAGGCCAAACAAAGTATTTTCGCTTTCGCAACGAAACACACAGTGTCTTCACAACATGGCGGTGGCGGTGGCAGCAACATTGAAGTTACACCTTCTTTCTTTTTTTGTGAACATTTGGGCGGCGTTATGCAAATCTTCCCACATCGTGACGTAGACATGTGGGGGTGTGTTTAAACAAGGCGTTTTAGGAAGGTGTGGACCAGTCTTAACTTTTATAAAGAATATCTCTTTGGGTGTGAGACTTTAGTCTTTGCAACTTTAGGAATCTTATCTATTCACGAACTGCTTGTAACACTCCAAAGAGAAAGGAAAACTTGAAATCACATCATATGACCCCTTTAAAAGATGTTTGCATTGAACTTTCAGCTTCGTAACTTTGCAGATATTGTTTATGCTCAAACAGCAAAATTACACACTAACTAACGTTAAAAAAGTGAAATCGCAATCAACCACCCCTTTAATTTAAATAATTAATGGATAATTTAAACGAAAAAGATAGTAAAAGTAAAAAATAATAAATTGAGTGTAAATAAAATTATATGGGTAAATATGGGTATTATGCAGTGGGTATAGTGTCCTATTTTTGACATTTATTATACATGCAGTTTTTATGGCATTAATTAAAAGGACTGCAAGTAGCATGTGTGCATTCATTTGTGAAATTTATTTCACACTTCACTTTCACACTTCTATTTAAGAGAGCAGCAATGTATAATAAGAGGTAAGAAATGGTTATATGTAAAATAAATGTTTTTTAATGTAAAATATTGATGTTGAGAAAAATGTTCAACATAAAAATTTTGACATTGGGAAAAATTTTCAAAGTAAAATATTGATGTTGGGGAATAGTCATATCCATATTATTTGTGAATTACACAAATGTGAAATGCAATGTGAAGTGTGAAATGAAGAACAAATTAAAAATCTGTTTGTATGCATCTATTTTTTATCTATTATAGGTTTTTTTTTTTAATTTGTCAAGAATTTTGTTCAAAAATTGTTGTTGCTTTATTGACATGAAATACATAACGTCAAAGCATTGTAGAGGGAGGGAAAAAATAAAAGAAAATAATAGGACTAAAAAAAAAAGACTAATAAAAAAAGGAAACACTTCCAATTCAAGATGTTGTTTACTCTTCAGTTGTTGGCCGTCTCAGATTAGCAATGTCAATTACATGCCACTTGATTGGAGCATTGATGACAGGATGTGTTCTTGGGTTGTGACCTCTGCAGCACTTGAGTTGTTGTGCTTTTTATCTGCTGCCTCTCCAAGATAAGAACTGTTCCACGGCTGTCACTGATTGCACATCTCTGGATAAGGTCTGCCTATACGCCGGCACCTGCTATAGTCTGAGAGGACAGACCTATTTCAAATGCCCACCAGGTGAAATACGGTTCCTATAGCACAGATTTAGATTTTTGTGTAAATCGTTTTACTGGTGAGGTTGACTTAAGTTTTATTAGGTTTACTTCAGTAGGTTTATTGGCATGATGTATCCGTTCATCTTTGAAAAGTCAAGGTGCCAGAAATACAAAATGAATCCAAAATATCCAGTTTTGAGTACAGCTTTGAAAGTTTCCTTTCTTTTATGAATTGCATGTTAATTGAGTGGCATAATATTTGTGTTTTATGTCTGTTTATACCACTTCTTGATGTAAATGCATGGAGTACCAGTGTTTGGCAACAGTGTCATCTGAGGCATGGCAGCTGAATAACTAACGCTAAAGTGTCTCCACTGAGCCATTCCACATCAATCAGTTCTTTCATACCATTTCACACAGGATTCACAGGACATGACTGCTCCATGCCGGCTGTGGGCTGCACTTCCAACCCTTGCGATACGAAGGGCACTTCCATGTGCGAAGAGCAGCAGGGCAGTTTCAAGTGCACGTGTCACCATGGCTATACTGGCCTATTTTGTGAAACTTTTATCAGTCACTGCGTTGAAGGATTGTGTCATCACGGATCAAAGTGTGTGGATCTCCTGCTGGGTTTCGTGTGTGAATGTTTGCCTGGTAAGAATGATTTCGTATAGTCTGCCTCCTCCCGATCCCTCTGTCCTCACCTTCACTAAAGCATCCATTTAACCCTCACCCCATTTTCATCTCTGCTCAGGGTTACAAGGACGATTCTGTGAGGTAAACATTGATGACTGTCTCGATAAGCCTTGTGGTGCACTCAGTATCTGTAAAGATGGTATCAATGCCCATGACTGTTTCTGTGCACCTGGGTTCGTCGGTAAGTCCACTGCAAGCAATTTTCTAGAGCAATTTCTTCCCTTGCCCAGTTTTCTAGCATTCAATTCCCCTCTGTTGAGCCGTGTTTAAAAGGTCTGTGGCCTCAAATCTGCTTCTGTATTGTAAGACATTAGTTGACCATCTGCTTATCAAGAGGAATTTCTTAAACCACATTACCCTGCCATCACATTTTCTGCCATCCATTTGACCAAGTAGACAGGAGTGTTGTTGTTGTTTTTTTCCATAGCACCTCATCATTAGCTCTGGGTTATTTTATTTGAAGGGGCATCACAGCCCCTTTATTTGCAATGAAATCCTTAATGAAATGAACCTTTCCCCTTCTTCTCAAGGTAATAACTGTGAGATTGAAGTAAATGAGTGTCTTAGTCTACCCTGTCAGAATGGAGCTTCCTGCTCAGATGAGCTTAACTCCTTCAGCTGTCTCTGCCTTGCCGGGGCCACAGGTACATAATTCCTTCCTGTCGTCGCAGTTTCACACTGAATTTGGGTGACAAAGACCTCAAAGTTACATTTTGAAAATGACAACCATGTGTAAATGTGGGATTGAATCCTTTAAATTAAATTTCCAGATGGTTGCGGTATCACTCCTCGGCCTACAATGGGAATGATAATTTCAGCAACATTTTTTGAAGTATTAAATAAGGAACATGAGTGGTGTTGTTTTAATTATTTGTTTATTTGTTTGATTATATATGATTAATATTGCATTTTTTTCAAGGTTACAATAGTAGGCTAGTAGTAGTAGTAGTAGTAGTAGTGTTAAGTAAAAATAGATTTGCCTTATTCATGGAACGTATCGGCTACGTACGTAACCCTCATACCCTGATGGAGGGAACGGAGACATTATGTTGTGACGACATTAGGTGTCTTACTTGGGAGCCCCAATCACCTCTGAGTTTAAAGGGGTCATATGATGCTGCCAAAAAGAACATTATTTTGTGTATTTGGTGTAATGAAATGTGTTTATGCGGTTTAAAGTAAAAAAAACACATTATTTTCCACACACTGTACATTATTGTTTCTCCTCTATGCCCCGCCTTTTTGAAACGCGTCGATTTTTACAAAGCTCATGTCTTCTTTCTTTGCGTGAACATTTGGGGGCTTTATGCAAATCTTCCCACATAGTGAGGTAGGTATGTGGGGGCGTGTTCGAACGAGCCGTTTTAGGTAGGTGTGGCTAACTCTTAACTTTTATAAAGAATATCTCTTTGGATTTGAGACTTTAGTCTTTGCAACTTTACAGATCTTCTTTATGCACCAAGAGCTTGTAACACTCTAAAGAGAAAGGAAAAAATGAAATCGCATCATATGACCCCTTTAAGAGAAAAGGCCAATGAGAATTGGCGAGTGGATTTTGCATGCCAAGCCACTCCCCCGTACAGTATATAAGGTGGCGCAGTGCATCCACTCATTCAAGTTTATGCTGAGGAGCCTAGACTGTGTCCCAGCATTCAGCGAGTGGTTCAGGGTTATGGCAAGGGGACATATCGTCTCTGTTCCCTCCATCAGGGAATGAGGGTTACATACAAAACCGAGACGTTCCCAATCTGTCGGTCACTACGAGTTATGTCGTGGGAACATTAGTGGTCCCTATGGAAAGCACCACAACCACTGAACGTTGTTACAACTTGTGGTGTTGCAAATGCAGACAAGCCATGGCATGTCAATGCAAATGTAAACGCAGAAGTTGTAACCTTCCCAACGCCCCAGAGCAAACTCACTGACCTTGGTGCCGAGAGGGGCCAATGGTGAGTACATCGCCATCGGAGAAGGCCATGCTGCAGTTCCGTTCACAGAAATTCTTTAACAGAAGGAATTTCAACTTCTGGTAATAAAAGACTTGCTTCAGATCTTCTTTTTTTTAGGTTAGATGGAAACGTTGGGGAAGTGTGCCTAGTTCCAAGGGATAAGGTCGCTACAGAGACCACATCCTATCCGTAGGGAGGTGACGTGGAGATACTAATATGGAATGACCTAACGAGGGTTTACCATGAGGGAACTCTTACCATGGAAGAATACACATCTGGGATTTCCCACTGGGAATCGCACAGATGGGACACCTAGCTCAGTACAGGGACTGACCGGGGCTATCCGCGTAAATGCACAAGGTGTGTACGGGACACAGCAATGCCAAAGCTGGATCTGCCTCCTCTGGGGGCAGTGCTTGCAGGCTCACCACTTGGTCCTGGAAGGGAGTAGTGGGAACCTTGGGCATGTATCCAGGCTGGGGTCTCAGGACAACGTGAAAGTAGGCTGGCCTGAACACTAGGCACTCTTTACTCAGCGAAAATTCTTTCAGGTCCCCGACCCTCTTGATGGAGGTGAGTGCGGTCAGGAGTGCTATCTTGAGAGACAGGATCTTAAGCTCGACTGACTCCAGTGGCTCAAAGGGATCCCTCTGAAGTCCCGCCAGGACAACAGAGAGATCCCAGGAGGGCACGAGGGGTGGCCTAGGAGAGTTTAACCGCCTAACACCCCCTCAGGAACCTGATGATCAGGTCGTGCTTCCCCAGGGACCGGCTGTCCACTGCATTATGATGCGCTGCGATAGCAGCGATGTACACTTTAAAGGTAGAGGGTGACAGCCTATGCTCCAACCTTCTTTGCAGGAAAGAAAGCACGACTCTCATCGGGCATCATCGGGTGTATTCTCAGCGAGAAGAACACCAGTCAGCGAACAGACTCCACTTCAAGGCATAAGCTCGCCTGGTAGAGGGAACTCTGGCTTGAGCAATAGTGTCTACTACCGCTGGTGGCAGATCACTTAATGCTGCCATGTCCCGTCCAGGAGCCACATGTGGATGTTCCAGAAATCTGGACGCGGGAGCCATATGGTGCCCTGACCCTGAGAAAGAAGGCCTTTCCTCAGGGGAATCCACCAGGGAGGGGCTGTCGCGAGGAGCATGAGTTCCGAAAACCAGGTCCGGGTGGGCCAGTAAGACGCAAACAGCAATACCTGTTCCTCTTCCTCCCTGACCTTGCACAGTGTCTGTGCGAGAAGTGTCACTGGGGGAAACACATACTTGCGTAGGCCCCGGGGTCAGCTGTGTGCCAGTGCGTTCGTGCCGAAGGGGGCCTCAGTCAGGGAATAGTACAACTGGCAGTGGGAGGACTCGTGGGAAGAAAACAGGTCTACCTGAATGAAATGCTGGGACAGCCATGTGACGGGCCAGAGAAATCATCTGGAAGCTGCACGGGACAAATGCTGCATGAGGAGTGGGAGGTTCGTGGGGGCTGGCCCGGCAGATTTGCTCCCATTGTAATCCTCAAATCTCCCAGAGCACTAACCAACGAGGCCTTGTGCTGTGCAGAGGGGTAGTGACTGAGGGGTCTCCTCCTTTCCTCAGAAAAGAGAGATCGCAGCGTTGCCATGGTCATGCGCTCGCAGTGTGGGCATAAACCATCCACTAATGCGTCTTCAGAGTGTTCTATACCCGGACACGGAAGACAGTGGTCATGGCCATCATCAGGCGACAGGAAACGACCATAACCAAGAGGACACGGACGGCATCTTGAAAAATATGCAGACCGTCTGCAATTTGCTATTTTAGGGAAACTGCACTTTTAGTGCTGTAGCGCCCTGGGCAATCACACTGCAGAGAGGGGGACACTGCTGAATGTGCCTTCTTGCCAACACCGAAGAGCTTGTTTATGAGGTGAATGGCTTCATGAAGTGTAGACATACACCCACTCGGCTCCGAAGAAAAAATCTGAATGAGTGGATGCACGCCGCCACCTTATGCATTGCAGGGCATGCAAAATCCACTTGCCTATTCTCATTGGCCTTTTCGCGTAAACTCAGAGGTGATTAGGGCTCCCAAATAAGACGCCTAATGTCATCACGACATAACTCACAGTGACCAACAGATAGGGAACTTTAAGGTGAAGTGTGTAATTTCCGTACTACTAGAAATACCAAATGGAATTGTTCAGAAAAAGCACCAAACTCACATCATGGACCCTTTTCACATTTCTGGGGTTCTCAAAAGTGAAAGTCATCATAGTTGGGAAAACTACAACAAATATAATTTTTGTGTTCCGATTTGTCCCAATAGCAAAAGAAAAAAATCAATGTTAGCGTTTTTGTGACTTTCCAAAAGAGGGGGAAAAAATCAAGAACTAGATTACGTTGGTTAGAAGAGAGAAAATTATATAAAAAAAAAATCAGCCATTGTATTAGAAATACTCACTCAGCAGCATTAACCTTTTTCCTGTAATTAAATGCAGTTTCATTATTCATAATTTCGTTCAAGGTAAGAATTTTTTTTTTATAACGTTAATGTAAAAAACGTTTGACAACCCATTCAAACAAATATCAATGTTTTTAAATCGCCACAGTGGAGTTAACCTGTGAATGACCTACTTATAGTTGTCTCAGCACTTTAAACTGAGATGGAAGTATTTTAATTCGGAAAAAAAATACACACTTCAGCGTGAAGCGATATGATCATTTAGTGTGTCATGTTTAGTTTACAAACAACCCTTTAAAACAGAGGGGCACTATTAGTTCTTATCCAGCCACATTAAATTTCTATTTTGAGAGTAATTTCCACTTAATTCTTTCATGTTTATGCAAATTGGAAAGGAAATAGGCTCATTTGGAGGTATGAGTCAACTTAAGCTCTCAGTATATTTTAGGAACCTCGTGCCCAACGGAATGTAAATTCATCTACTTTCATTTCAAACCAGGAGGTGTATTGCTCGAAGGCTTAAAAGGGATTTTAGATTTGTTTTTATTTTATTCCAGATTCTTTGTGCTGTGAAAACTTCATCTTATAATTGGATGGCATGGGAATTTCTACGACAACTCTCAATCTTATTTTCTTCTTTTTGTGTGCCTTTATCTTTTTCTCTTGCTTCTCAGGCAGTTTATGTGAAATAAACATAGATGAATGCCAGTCATCACCATGCATGAACAAAGGCACGTGTTTGGACCTCTCAGATGGCTTTGAATGCATTTGCCCATCAGGTTACTCTGGTGTGTCTAATGTTTATAACATTATTGCATTGATTATCTCTCCATTGCTTTTCTATTGCTCTCACAGGGCCCAGAACAAAAATAAATCTTAAAACTATACATAGACCCCAAATATTAAATGTCTTAAGTATGAATGTCATATTTTTGTCATTTGTGGAAAGCTGCTTCTCAGATATTCTCTAAGAGATATGGGCTTCTTTCAAAGATTTTCTGATTTCTGATTTTTCTGCTTTATATTGTGCATTAAAGGTCCCAAGTGCTCGCTGGACATTGATGAGTGTCTCTCATATCCCTGTAAGAATGGAGGCACCTGTATTGACCAACCGGGTAATTACTACTGCCGATGTGCGGCTCCATATAAAGGTAATGAAGACTGAGGGACTGGGGTGAAGAAAAGCAAAGTTAATTAACTTTAGAGAGCATTCCTCTCACCTGTCTGAACTCATGCAGTCAGTATTGCCACATCAAGACATCTTCATTGTTCATACAATAATTTCAAATTAAAATGAATTTAAAATGTATAAATGTCCAGAAAAATGTATAGGGTCAATCATATTTCAAATAAAATATTATAAATGTAAAGTATAAAATAAAAATACAAAATACAATTCTGATAGGCTGTACTCTCAACATAATGTGGTTTCACCAAGCTGCTTTATACCTTTTGATTTAATTTTTTATGTCAGAAATGGTTGAAGGTTGAAATTAAATTATCTCTAATGCATTTTCACCCTTACAATGCATGGTTTTCATTTACAACAATTTTAGGATAACGATAACCTCACAATTGATTTGCTGTTGAACATTTTGGTGAGGATAATGTATTGTAGTAAGCCCTGCATTTATACACACACACATTACGGTATGCTGGTTCAGTTCAGAGGTTGATCAATTCAGACCTAAATGTCAGGACAAATTCCCCCTAGAGTGCTGTTCTCTTTGACTATGTTATTCAGATCAGGAAACTGCGGAAACTATGTGCTGTCTGAATATACCTGTTTTACACATCTGTATTTTGTGCATTATTATCTGTGGTGTTGTTGTTGTTGTTTTTTTTTTGTGTGCGTTTGATGCTCAGCTGGTCAATTCTGGACACAGAATGCATCTAATCTAAAATCGATCAGGCAGCTCAGTCATCGCTGCTTATACTCAAACAGAGATCACGGATCGCACTTCCATTAGACGAGCAAATTAGGTTGTCAGGGATAATGATTATATCGGTTATTCTGTTTTGAAATTGAGGGAAAAAAGGCACAGGCAGCTTCGCTGCTCTGAAACACAAGCATAGTGTTTATGTGGAGGGATGCTGGGAACATTAACCTATCCATTACACCGCTATCCTTTACTAAATGATCTAGTATCTAGACTGGCTAAAATACAGTGCAGAGTCTATCCATGTGTTAATTGAAACCCTGAGAGTTTGTAGCGGCCATTACCCAACAATGCCATTAGTGTAGTTAGACAATTCAAAGGCATGTCATTAATTTTCATTGAAGTTGTTCTCACGTATCTGTCTCTAATGTTTCATTGTTATGGGTTTTTGTACTGTCTTTGATTCATGTATATTTTTGTCTAATCCATTTCCTTGTTTAATAATAAAAAGTTTGCACCAGCTTAACCAGGCTAGCCTGCTGACCAGCTTCACTGAACAGTTTTGGTCAGTTACCAATTACCATTATAAGGTGTGTTGAGTTGCTTTCAAGTTGGTTTTACTGTAGCTAGTGACCAACTTGACTACAGATCTCTGTCTGGCTCTTCTACTACCATCATGGGTGACATTTGACTCTTGAGTCGGGAGGGGCAAGAAAAGAAAAAAAAAATATATATATATATATATAAATGAAATAAATAAATGAAAGCAAAATAATTTTTTTCTGATGTAAGCATCAAAACAATGCCCTACCATATTGCAACGCATCAAAGCAGTCAATCCAACACAGTCAAGAATAACTTAA